ATTCGCTTCACTGATCATAGTTAGTTAGGGGGAGGGGCTGAGAGAAGGGGGGGGGTCTAATCACAGCTTTTATCTGACTGATATCAACCCTAATAAATGGCCACCAAATCTGTCCCTGTCAATTTCCCTGTTCCTGATCCCTTATCTTCATTTCCTTCTATATGTCTTTCATTTGCCTAAATATCTATCTCTTGCTTATTCTCTTTCGCGATTGTCTATCAAAAAGGTGTTTCTAAATTGTTTTTTTTTTTTTCTATCTCTCCATCGACCCATTTTTTCATTTTGTTTCTGGCCGTCTGTTTTTCTGTCTTTTTGGATATCTCTCTCTCTCTCTCTCTCTTCTTATTTACCCTTTTCATCAGTCACTGTCGTTTATCCTATCTGCGTCGGTGTTGCATTATTATCATAAACTCTCGCATCTCGCTGTCCGTCATTTGCCATCGATTTTGAAAAGAATTCTAATTACGGGCATTAATATTTAAGGCTCATTACCTTAGATTTATGTAATTTATAGTGCAATCGCCCTATCATCAGCTGTTTATTGTTAATGAGGTTGCTGGTTATCTTACAGCCTATTTTTTTAACATTAAATGTGGCGTGACTATCCCTTAGATTTACTATAATAAAATCATATCATCCCTGTCGGCTGTACATTATTGTTAATGAGTATCATCATCATCTTTCTCAGCATCATTATTGTTGTTGCTGCTGTTATCACCGCTGTTATAATAATTTTCACGTGTCATCATAAATCATCATTAACATCTCTGCTAGTCATCTTTACCATTGATATTCCTATCATCTATTTTACTCTGATGGCCACTTTCATAATAGCAATAACATTATAACCAATATGAAAAAAATATAATTATTCTATAACAATTCATTGTAATGATTGCAAAGGTCACTGGCATAAGAAATAGAAAGGCCTTATATATGTAAATATTTTTCTTTCTCTTTTTAGCGAGGGTTCCAGGACACTTCCATAGGGGATGCCAACATAAGCAATAAAACGTACTGACGGTAGGCTCGTTGTAGCTAAGGAGAGCGTAGACCCACAGCTCGTTAGCGAAAAGGCCTTTATGGTACTACAAGACGTGTTTATACTGTAGTGCATTGTTCTTCAAGGGTATGTGTGGTATTAGGTTCAATTCCCTATCTCCCTTTAATGGGGGATTACTATAGACGGTTGGAGGCTTATGGAAAGTGCTGTTAGCTTGTTTCTTGTCTCTTTGGAGGGGCAGTGTCTCTCCTACCTCGCTCTCTCTAGTGTGTTATGTATACGTGTGTGTTTCTCTCTCTCTCTCTCTCTCTCTCTCTCTCTCTCTCTCTCTCTCTCTCTCTCTCTCTCTCTCTCTCTCTCTCTCTCTCTCTCTCTCAGTACTGTTACATGTTATGTACCTTTTGACATGAGCTATGCAAATGTTATTCATGTAATGTATCCAAGGTTGAAGACTTTAATGGTAAAGAAATGAATTGCAATGATTTCATTTCAGATCCTTTGTTTATTAACAACGGTTAGTAAAGGGCCAAGAAGAGGTTTGTCAGACTGATCCATATTAAACGAATTCAACAGATCGACTACGTAAAACACACCATCAAACCGCCATTTTGCTTGTCAGTGTGCCATGAAAATCTATTATTGTATCATTGGTATAATAACACGAAATGCACATTTGTTCCCTCTTCGATTGTTGTTTAACTAGCTTCTTTTCATTGTTTTCATAGATTTAGAAAAGGCATGGATGAAACTGAATAACAAGAGGCAACGTTACTCATTTTCATTCATATTCTTTGAGGTTGCGTCAGACATTTCATTTCTCCTTTCATGAGTTCAGAATGTTTTTTTTTACTGGACTTAGATACGTGAGAAATGTTTTCTTTGCCCCTTTATCCTCATCGTATAATCTGATAAAAGCCTTCTTTCAAATTATCCTTCTCTCTCTCTCTCTTTCTCTCTATCGCTCCATTCTTCTC